CACCAAACATCCTCCTCTCCTCATTCCTCCTTCTTTCTTATTCATTCTCTCTGCCGTCCAGCCCCGTCTAGTTCTATCTCCTGCCTAGTTATTGGCCGTGCAGCTATTTGACCAGTCAGGTGTTTTAGAAGGGAAAGGATCACAGTTTTACAGAGTTAAACCAATGCAACATAAGGGAATGCAACACATCTTTGCATCATGAAACAAATATTTCACCACATAGACTAATGTAACACATTGTAATTAAAATTCCACAACATAGTTGACACAGTCCTTCTGTAGCAAGCAAGGGGTTCTGGGTTTGATCCCCAATAGGCCAAGTAGCAAACAGTGCTTTCCTACAGTATCATGGAAATGCCAGCATCCATGTTCCACTATTTTTCTTTAAAATGGGAGGTACATTAACTTTATGAATGTGAGGATCATGTCCTACCCATACCTATCACCTAGATTTAATTTTTTTTTTTTTTTTTTTTGGTTTTTTCAAGACAGGGTTTCTCTGTGGTTTTGGAGCCTGTCCTGGAACTAGCTCCTGTAGACCAGGCTGGTCTCGAACTCACAGAGATCCGCCTGCCTCTGCCTCCCAAGTGCTGGGATTAAAGGCGTGCGCCACCACCGCCTGGCTAGATTTAATTTTTTAAGTTTCTTTTTTTTTTTTTCCAAACAGGTTTCTAAATCTCATTAAAAGCCTGAGATGAAATTAATCTGATGAGATTAGCTTTCTATAAAAAGGAATCAGAAAAATGAAGGAGAGAATTTTGATTTCTGAAGGAGAGAAGGCTTAAAAACAAAGGGAAAAGCAACAAGAGGAAAAGGAGTGAATGAATTCTGGAGGCAAGACCGCATCTAGGTGCTGATGTAAGAATGCCGACATCTTGAGACCAGCCTTCCTTTGGCATCCCTGGGAACACTCTGTCCTGGGTACCCGGCAACTTCAAAGACTCCAGGATTTACAAGGCTCTGAGCTGTCTGTCAGCATTAGGCCAGACAGATGCTGTCATTATCAGATTGACAAATGCTATTTAGAGAAAGGAAAGGTGAGGTGTGAGGAACAGAGCCGGCTGTCTTTGTGCCCCCAGGGTGCTGACAACTGTGTTTCAATGTCAGGTTCTTTTGTTCACCTTGCAGCAGCGTGCTGAGATGGGGGTAGAATGGGGTTGGGGGGATGGACTATGCTCTACCCCAGAGGGGCTAGCTCTCTCTTTCCCAAGTCTGTATCCTTCCAAATCCAGGCCCAATGCCTATGAAAATGCAAAGTTCACTCCCAAACTGTCTGTATTTTCTCTGACAAAGGCATTGCAAGTTTTTCCGAAAAAGTGAAAGGGAAATTCTAGGCAAGTGCTTTACCACTAAGTTGGAGCCTCAGATATTTCTGTAGTCTTCATAATTTATTTATTGAAACAGGGTCTCAGTATGAACTCTGACTGACCTTGAGCTCACAGAGATGTGTCTGCCTCTGCCTCCTGAGTGCTAGGATTAAAGGTATCCCACATCCGTCTCATTTTTGCAAACAGACTCACTAGGTTACTCTTGGACAATGTCATCTCTCCAGAAACTGGGGCCATATGACTGAGACACCATGCCTGGCTTACATTTTATTCTGGTAGTTTGTTGAGATTGGAGTTGGGGGCATTTTGTTGTTGCTGCTGCTTTTGAGACAATGTTTCATTCTGTGCTGACCTGGAATTTACAATATATTCAAGCTTGACTCGAACTCTTGCCTCAGACACAAGCCATTATTACTTATATTTCATAATTCCATTTTACAGTATCTAGTCATGATACCGACAAACCTCAAAGTGTCCATTCCAAAACAAACCATTTTTGGTTAATTTAAAATTAGTTTACTCATGACTCTGGAAAATCTGCCTTCATATAGCCACACAGGGGTTTCCTCAAGGGGCAAAGGACTTCTGACCTCCTTGACTTCTCGGTCCTCATTTCCATGCTTTCTACAGGGACTCCAAGCTACTTCCATTTAAAGAAGGTGTGTGCAAAGTGCATGCCTTTAATCCCAGGTAGAGGCAGGTGAATCTCAGTTCAAGGTCAGCCTGGTGAACAGGCTGAGTTCCAGGGCAGACAGGGCTATACAGAGAAACTGTGTCTTGAGAAAGAAAAACAAGAATTCCTCTTGCTTTCTGCTGGAATCCTGGAATAGCAGTCAGGACACTGAAGCTGGGTTTGTTTTTTTTTAAATATTTATTTATTAATTATGTATATATTCTGTGTGTGTGTGTGTGTATCTGCAGGCCAGAAGAGGGCACCAGACCTCATTACAGATGGTTGTGAGCCACCATGTGGTTGCTGGGAATTAAACTCAGGACCTTTGGAAGAGCAAGCAATGCTCTTAACCTCTGAGCCATCTCTCCAGTCCTCTGGGTTTAAGTTTTTAATAGTGTCTTCAGTGGTGATGTACTGATCTCATTCTCCTGAGCACTGGATCTCACAGCATGCCCCACTGTGCGCTACTGGGTTGGATCTGGATCCTGACTGGCATCTAGCATCTTCTAGGTTTCATGTGCCTTATTTGCTCTAGCAGAGCAAGAATGGGAACAGTAATGGTAGTTATTTCATGGAGGTTTCTGCTTTTTTCGAGACAGGGTTTCCTGTGTAGCCCCGCATGTCTTGGAACCTGCTATATAGCCTAGGCTAGATTAGAACTCCCATAGATGCACCCGCCTCTGTCTCCGGAGTGCTGGGATTAAAGGCATACACCACTTATTTCTGTGCCAGGCTTATTTCGGAGTTTTTGTGGGACTGATGAAATAACCCGTTGAGTCTGGCACTGAGGTATGGTACATTTGATGCTATTTTCACGGGCCCATCCTAGATACCTTTCTCCTTAGCCGCCTCCTGGTGTGGGCTTTCATTTTGTGGGATTTTCTCTCAACTTCCTCCCGGGGTTTCTTCTCTCAGCTTCTTTGGCCTCTCCCATACGGACTCATACCATTCTGTCACCAGGCCGAGAAGTACTGTCCCTTAGGAAACACAAGTGAACACCTTGGTCCTCCAAGTTCGGCATCTCTGAACTCCACTGGATTCGCAGCCTCCCAGGGCCTCTGCTCGTCCTCCCTCAGCGTATAGTGTAACAGTGGACAGCAGCAGGGTCGTCTTCTGACATTCTCTTCTGCTTCATCAGTGTCCCCACAATTTCTAGCCTCCCTTCAGTCTGGCTAATTCCTTGTCCTTCAGTTTTGTGCCAGATACCTGTGCACACATGCAGCAGTTAGGCGCCTTCTTGGTGATTTTTTTCCTCACAGCTGTAATGGTATATGTAGGAGACTAATGTTTATGTCTCCTTCTAGAGTATAAAATGTCTTAAGTACCCAGCAATGGCTCTGTATTCTCAGGACTAGCACGGTGACTACCATTTATTTGTTCAATGAATGGGAGAGGGAACGAATTCTTCCTAATTGGTAAGCTCTGTGACTAAGCACAGCATATGACAGATTATTTGAACATTCCCTATGTAATTAAGTATTTGTTGAAATGGACAGGAACACTACTAAAATCTAAAATCTTTGTGGCTCTATATAATACAAACCCTTTATCTGGCTTTTGGGGACCAACATGTTATGTAGTAATATAATACTTTGGCTAAAAACACCTTAAAAAACATTCTCAAGGGCTGGAGAGATGGCTCTGGCTGTTCTTCCCGAGGTCCTGAGTTCAATTCCCAGCAACCACATGGTGGCTCACAAACCATCTGAGACCTGGTGCCCTCTTCTGGTGGGCAGGCATACATGCAGACAGAGAGCATTGTATACATAAATAATAACAATAATAATGATGAATGTAAAGTACTGTAGTTAAAAAAAAACTTTCTCAACTGGATGTGCCAATGGTTCCAGAGGAAGGGCACGGTTAAGAAAAATGTTAGCTCAAGAACACAAGTACCAACGCAGCACAGACTACAAAGATGCTGAGGAAAGCTGGAAATTCCCCCTTTGAGCACAAGTTCGGGTTATGGCTGGGGTGGTGTTTGTGCTGATGGTTCAAGGGGAGAAGAATGTCTTGCCCCACAGAAAAAGTACTTTGTTTTCACACAGCATTCCATTTCTAGAGTTCTTCCCTGGAAATCCACTCAGGGACCTAGTGGGACTCAGGCACCCATCAAAAAACTTTAACGGGAATTCTGCCGCCTGCCAAGGCTCACCACTGGCGTTCCAGCCCCAGAACCCCTAAGATGTCCCTGTAACCACCCCCCCCCCCCCCACACACAACAGAATCAAATGGAAAGGCTCCCACCCCTTCACCTGCAATTGGGGAATCTCATCCTAGGCAAGCATTCCTCATGAATACATTCCTAGCCCTGAAGATGAGGTTTTCATTTAATATTTTAGATACAGGGTCCACCGTGAAGCCCTTCAATTCCCTACATAGACCAACCTGGCCCCAAACTTGTGAAGATTCTGTTTCTGCTTTCCGAGTGCCCGGCTCCCTGTTTTTTGTTTTTAAATTTACAGTAGCAGGATGGACAGCCCCCGACGAGTAGCTTCCTAGTAGAGTGGGGATGCAGAGGAAAAGGCATGCATGCTTCTAACTAGCCAGCTTTCAACTAGCCTCCGGGGGCGCGGGCCTCCTCCTGGAGTGGGGTCGTGGCGGCCACTACAGGCCGCGGGCCCGCGGAGACGCGAGGCGGAAACCCAGGAGGCCCCACAGAGAGGCCAGAGACCGCACAGTCGCCTCGCGGGGACGCTCAGGGCGCAGCTTCGGTAACCGAACCTTCCCGACGCCAACCGCCACCGCGAGCACCAGTACCACCGTAGGCGCGCGGGCCGTAGCCGCCAGCCGCCAGCGCGCATGCGCGGCCGTGGGAAGCCCCGCCCCAACGGGTTCTCCGCGCGCGCCCGCTCATGGCGGCCGCCGCAGTGTGTGGTGTTTAGCGGGCGCGCGCGCCGGGCTCGAGGACGCGCGGGGCGGCGGCGGCGGCGGCGGCAGGGGAGCCGGGCTGCCGGGCGGGCGGGCGCGCTCTCGAGGGCGGCGGCCCAGGGTGTCCCGTCGGTGTTGGCGCTGCGAGAGTTGGAGGCGCGGCCCGCGGCGGCGGCGGTGGCGGTGGCGGTGGTGGCGGAGGCAGCTGGCGACCGGGCGCGTTAGACGGGGCCGGGGTCCGCGGCGCGCTCTCCGCCCACAGGTAAGCGGGCGGCCTGGAGGGAGGAGCCGGCCGCGGCCCGGGGTGGGCCGGGTGAGCCCTCGCGGAGCCGCGGCGCCTTTGTCTCGGCCGCCCCGGGCGGGCCCAGGCGTGAGCGGCCGTGTGGGCCGGCGGCGGACGGGCGGGCTCACCGAGGCTCAGGCCCGCGCCCTCTCGCAGCCTTTGTTGTGCGGCCGGGTGGACGGCCAACATGGCGGAGGTCATCCGCGCGCTGCGCGGCCCGCGGTCGGGCCTCGCCTCGGCGGCTCCGGTCGGGCGGCCTCCCCCGGACCTGCGCCTTCATTGTGCGGGGGAAGAAGGCAGCCTCCTCCCTTGTTTATGTCGCTAGGAGCGGGCGCGCGGACGCCCGCCCGGGCCGCTCCAGCCTTTAAGCCTAAGCCTTGCTCCGCCCAGCTTCCTTTGCGGGATAGTTGGGGTCCTTCCTCCACGCTCCCAGATGCAACTTCGTGTGCACGCCCTGGTTCGCTGCGGCGCGCCGGTTCCTGGAAAGATAGGAAATTTGTTTACCCTGGCAGGAGTCACATTTGTGCCTTCGGAAAATGAGGCCATGGAGCTGATTTGTCAAAGTCATGGGAGCCCTGAATGTGGGATGTAGGACAGGGAGGGACCTGACTGCCGTTCCTAGCGTTGAACATTTGCCATTTCTTGATTGGCGATTGTCAAGGGTGAAATGTTAACTCCTTAAAGCGTTAGGAACACGGGCTCGGGACTCAGCTCTCCTGCTCCGAGCTCCGATCAAATCCTGCCCCACCGGTTTGTGACCTTGGGCAAGAGTCCTAATTTCTTGGGTGCTTCATTTTCCTAATCTGCAAAATGGGTCTCATGGAGAGTATTTTCCTCAAAGCTGTTGAGAACTCATGAGATGGGAAGTAGTTGAAGTGCAGAGAGCTCTTATAGTAAGTCCTCAGCAAATGATTACCGCTCAGGCTCTTGTCTCATAAAAATATGCCTAAATTAGCCTGGCATGGGTGCATTGGAAGTGCGTAAACCAAAATATTTGGCATTATAAATCGTTAGTGCTTGGGTTCTGTTGTTAAATGAATTGTTTTAGAGGGCAGAACGGCATGCTTTCTGAGATGCTGGAGTTAGGGACTTGCAGAACGGCATGCTTTCTGAGATGCTGGAGTTAGGGACTTGAGTGATAGGGGTGTGGATTGGTAAATACTACACATTCCGGAATTTGGGAAGTCGAATAGATTAGAATGAAGTTTCCTTTTCGCAGTCTTAGTTCATGGTTCAGTTCACCTTCAAGGACTTGAGTTACCTAACTTGGAAAAGTAGGACAGTGAACCCCTTTAATTAGAGTAGTTACCTGTGGTGTCGCGGGCTCCTTCAGCAGCTGCTGTGACAAATGGGATGACACAGTAACTGTCAGGGAGAGATTGGCTCACATTCTGGAGACGGTGTTTACCTGTGCGATAAGTTTGTGACTAGGCTATTTTCTCAAAGTGGATTGCATAAATTCCTCGTACTTTTTTGTTTTGGAAACTTGAATAACAATACAAACTTCCGTAGTCTGGATAGGTTAGTTGCAGTTTTGTTCAGAGCTTTTTTACTTAACCTGGGCTTTGTCAGATTTGTCTTGTATCAGAATTGGTTTAATAGACCCCTGTTGGCATCTTTGCCACATAGCTTTGTAACAGTATTTAAAACTGAAATACAGTGTAGCAAATTTGGGGAATTGCTAATTTGTCATCTCGCAAAAAAAAAAAGGGGGGGGGGAGGAGACAAAGAATTACATTTAGAAACAAATGTAATTCATTTTGCGTCAGAATATCTGCTCTCTCAAGGCTTCAGGAAATTCCTACAGCAGAAAGCTGGGCATGGTGGTAGAAACCTATACTACATTACTTACCTGGAATTCCAACATTTGTGGGGCTGAGGCAAGAGAAAAATTTTAGGCCATTAGGGCTTTAGTGCCACCACCCCCCCCCCCCCCGCGCGCACGCACACACACACACACACACACCCCACTAGAAAATATTGCTTATTACTAGAAAATATATTCTATTTGGTTAAAAGTAGTAAATAACAAGGGAAATATCCAAATATGCCAATGATAGGAAGATAAGGGTTTTGTTTTCAGTGTGTAAGGTATTCTGAAGACCAGTCTTGCATAATTAAGGTAACAGAACAAGTTGAGTGACTTTACATAGTTGTAGATAACTTTCATCTTATTTTATGATAGTTTATACACTCAGTTTTAAAGATTAGAAGTTCTGTTAAGGTCTGTTTCAGATCTTTAAATAAAAGTAGGAATTTCTACATGCAATTTATCAAATACTTAAATATTTGATGTATTTCATCTAGACCTTGCCTTCAACCAGATCTTTATTTTATAAACTTGAGAGCTCACACTTTCCTATAAACAGAAAAATATGCAGAAGTTTTTATCTTTACAGTATAGTTTTACCAGTATAGTTACTGGTAATCGGCCAATGACAGGCAGAAGAGGGCAATCAGATCATCCGGAGCTGGAGTTACAGGTAGCTGTGAGCTGCCTGACATGGATAACTGAACTGGGATCCTCTGGGAGGGCAGCAAGTACTCTTAACAACTGAGCCATCTCTCCAGCCCTGGTTTAACCATTCTTATGGCTTCCTAGTGTTACCAGTGTAAATGAGCTTTCTTATTAAACCTATGAACCTGACTTGAAAGGCCTTCAATATGTAGGCCTAACTAAGTTCCTTGATGTGTTTAGTAAGTACAGTGCCTTGTCTGAGCTGGCCCCTTCTGTTGCTTCCTTGCATTTTTGATGGACTGTGTGCTTCCAGGTCCTTCTCTTTCTACTAAATTCATAATAGCCCAGTCATCATTAGCTGAGCTCTTCCTGAACTCCCCACATTGAATTGGGTGCCATTTCTTCATGTTCCCACAGTACTCTGCTAGTCTCCACTACAATGTCTCCTGAGCCGCTGTTTTTCTATATAGTGTTTTGCTTATCCAAATAGACTGTAATGTCTTTGAGTTTTAGCTTTGTTCTCCTGCTTGTCAAGCACAGCATTGGCATACATTGATGCTCAGTAAGTCAATGCTAAATGACAATATCTTTACATTGACTTAAGTAGACTTTTCTCAGCCTTATCCCAGTGTGTTATATTTGCCCTACTTATTCAAACTAGATTATTTTGTTCCCTGAACACTGTACATTTCTATAGAGCTTTGTGGTTGTGTATAATCTTCAATGTCTGCTACTTTGGGAAGATTAGTTTCTCTGAGCCTTAGTTTTTAGTACTGTGTGAACACCTGTTAAGGATGTTACCTGGGTCCTACTGTTGAAGTACTGTTGTTTGATTAAGAGGACAGCCATTAAGAGTCAGACCTGGATGTGTCTTTTGGCCCTGTCAGTTGTCTAAGATCCTTGAGAGCAGAGATACTGCCTACTTCTGCATTAAAAAACACAGTGCCTACACACACAGCTTAATTAATTAAAATTGCAGTTCTAAATATTAGCCATACATTCAAGTGAAGAAATAAAATTACATGTTACTTTATGTATTATAAACGGAGTCAAAGGTGCTGAAGTAGAGACAGTGGGAGGGACAGCTGCTGTTTGGGGTGGTTGTTACCTTTAAAGGAAGATGAAGAACTGGCACTAGCCCTTTGAAGCAGGGGAGCAGCCTAGTAAAGGTCCTTGAGGCTGGACGGATTTGGATTGCTTACAGGAGAATGTCACTGAAATGAAATGATGGATTGAGGAAGCAGGCAGGTGGGGGTTGATTCTGTTGAGTCAGCAAAAAATGTGAATTGAGGAAACTGAGAAAGGTTTACTGACAAGGACAACACAATCCACAACTCTTAAAGGTGCTTTAATCCAGGCGGTGGTGGCACCCGCCTTTAATACTATTGCTTGGAAGGCAGAGGCAGGCGGATCTCTAAGTTTGAGGCCTGTCTGGTCTACAGAATTCTAGGACAATCAGAGCTATGCAGAGAAACCGGTCTCGAAAAATCACAATGAAACAAAAACAAAAAACAAAGATTGCTTTAGCTGTTTGGAGACTATTTCTTATTATCTGTGATAGCTGATTATGACTGGGATTAAAGTGATGGTGGTGAAGATGAACAAAGTGGATGAATTTCAGGTATATTTTTGATACATAATAATGGGTCTTGCTGATGAGTTAGATGTGAGAGGTAGGGAAAGGAAGGAATGAAGATTTCTGGCTAGAGTGACTATGGGTTGTGTTGCCACTTGTCAAGATGAAAAAGACTGGCCATGTTGAGCCAGGATGGTAGTAACATTCAGAGTTCTGATATGTTTGAGTTGAGGTGTCTGTGCAGTTGGAGGGAGAAAGAAAACCAGAGGCATGCAGTGGCATAGAAGCCAGATGGAGCTAGTAATGCATGCTTGTGTTGGAGAGACCTGGTCTAAGAGGGAAGTGTAACATTTTGAAGCAAGAAAATAGCAGGCAGGGTTCTTCTTGGATTCTCAAGGGTGAGAAGTTAGTCTGTGGCTTGACAGAGAGAAGCTAAAGTAGATAAAACTTTGGTGGTTTCTGCTCTTTTCTCAAAGTAGGAGAGGTGAAACTCCCAGTGAGTGCAAGTACTTTATGTGGCAGGTCAGAGGCATGGAAATGAGTTGAGCAGCTGCACTGGGGAAGGGAGTTGCTACCAAGTGCTTGCTGATGATTCCTGGTTGTTGTTCAAGGGGATTCTGGGAGAATGCTAAAAGTGATGGAATGATGCACTTTGATTCTTACATGTATGTTTTCTGGTTGACATTTTATGCAACTACATATAGAAAGGTGCTCAAATCATGAGTAGGCCTTGACTTTTCACAAAATGAGCCTGCTGTTCTAACTGTTCCCCGGGGTTAAGAAGAACATTACCAGAACAAGACACCCTCTTTCCTCATCTAATTACCACTCCTGACAGGAGGCATCTCCTGCCTTTGAATGCCACAGATGGAATTTAGTTGCTTTTGAGCTTTCTATGAACGGATTAATGCTGCATGTGCTCCTTCCCATCTGTTGTAGTTCTTG